GGGGCTTTACATGATTTCACCATATGATATTGAAAATTGCTTGAGAACAGGCAAACCAACCAAGTGAAAGTCATAAACCTAAACATTTTCAGAAAGTAGAATGCAAATAGGAAATGGAACTCACTTGTGAAGGAGTTCAAATGTTTGGGGATATAGAAAACAGGTTGTACAACCTGAAATAGCGTCTCAAATTTTGGCTGATTCAATTGGCGATGACACCACAGAGCGAGACTTATGGCAGATCTGGTCGCTTTTAAGAACAAGGAGGCTATCCCGAAAAATGCTGATTTGAGAAAATCGAAGGTAAAGTTTTTTGACCCCTGTTCAGTTTCTTTAAAAGCGCAGTATTTATCCGGAGACGCCTCCAACAACATAGACCAATCAAATTGCTTTGTGCCTCTAGACCAAGTAAAAAAATCTTGGGGGTTATAGGGGGTCATGCCCCCCCTGTTTTAACCCATAATTTGATATTTTGCAATTAAGTTTGAAATTTTCTTGAAAATAATTGATTTGCGACAGTTTTAGTGGCTATATGTGTGACTGCAGTAAATAATAAAAAATTTGACCCCCAAAGCAGTACATCCGTGTGCGGGAGTACGTCTCCGAATAGTTCCTGGGTGGTCACCGGAGACGTCTCCGAATATCTTCTGCCGATTTTTAAAGACAAGGAGAGTTTTCTCTTTAACCATACAAATATACACACCAATGAAACCAAAAAACTTCTCGTATTGGTAGGACAATGCTGACTTTTGGTGAAGGAGAAAATTTCTGGAAACCCCCCCAAATCTGGGTTAGCCCGCTTGTCCTTTAAAGCAACCATTTAACCGGGCGTCGACACGTGGAGGGTTAAGTTGTTCTGTGGCATCTATTCCTCTCAGGTGTTGGCCGACTTCAACCAGACCAACGCCGATAACTTGGTGACCTTGATAAACGACATTGCCGAAGTCCAGGCGGCACAGACTCCGGACAATGTGACCGTCCAGGAGATTCAGCGTCTGCTCTGTGAGGACGAGGTCAGTTTTGAGTGCGGGTTGGTGGTTGGTTGGAGGGTGACTGCTGCTGCTAAGTTCTACTTGTTTTCTTTCCTTTTTAAAAAAAAAAAAAAAATTATTTTTTTTAACGTCTGTTCACAGTCTCATAGTACACACATAGCAAAACATGCATGGTAGCGAACAAAATTTCAGGTCCTGAGATTTTTTCATGAAGGGCCTATGTATTTCTTTGTACTTAACCCTATCCGTACGTTGTGTTTCACTATTGTATCCATATGACGGGGGAACTCAGTGCCACCACTTTCCAAAGAGGAAATTTACTTGTTAATCCGATCCGTACGCTTTGCATAGCAGTCTGTCAAAATGATTTTTTGAGAAATACTGAAAGTTTCAAAGAGATCTTCTTACTAGAAGTATTCTTAAATGTGAAAAATACAACCCCAGGGGTACAAAATGACCCCAGGGCGTACTGATAGGGTTAAAGAAACGTGCAGGATGAAAAGATTCCCTCATATCTCAGATTTGCTATGTGCATGCTAGACTGTATTTTGCTTTCTTTCCTTTGTACTTTATTATGTCCATATGCTTTACTTAAGGGGAGGGGG